AATAAACAAATGTTTATTAATCAGAGTACAGCACTTCTTAAAGAAATCACTTTGGTATTTTGCAGAGGCACTTAGAATGCTTCTTTCAGAACCATAGTCATATTTCAAGGATACTTTGCTTACATTTCTTATTGCGATATACTTGTTCTTTAGCATAAATAAATACATTTTAAGTATAATGAGTTACATAGAGTTACAATATAGCATGGATTTAGCCTTCTTAGCCTCACTTGCTTAGCATGAGTAGTTGGATTTGCTGAAGCTTTAGGCCTCAACCTGTGAAGTTACACCTAAATATGCTTTGAACTGGGATAGTTAATTTTCTTAGTAAATTTTCTAGTAGCTGGTACAGTGCTGTGTCTTGGCTTTAGTATGAGAAGAATATCAATAACAGACTGATGTTTTGGTTGTTGCTAAGTAACATTTATCCTAAGTCGAGGGCTTTTTTAGTTTCCTAAGCTCTGCCACCAAGCAGGTGCACCAGAAGCACAAATCAGAAGATAAGGAGACTACAGGCACCAGGAGAAGCTGCAACTTGGCAAGATAAGAACAGTTAATGGCCTGCATGGACACTTGAGAAATAACCAAATAAGATCTTAGAAGAATGCCACAACAAAAATGACCATTGAACCAGGAGGTGCATTCAAGGCACATGAAGAGCATGTGAGAAGAGGGTGTGTAAGTCATAAAGGTATAATTCCCCAAGGATTACTTTGTTCTGAGTCCCTCTCTGCAGGCACACTCAAGATGACCTGCTGCTGTATCTCTCTATTAAATTATTTATTTTTATATATCTGACACCTGAGACTCTGCTGCAGGAAACCTACAGCTGAGCTTGAAGAAGGAAGAAGCACGTCCAAGTGAGTGTGTGTGTGAACAAGGAGTCAAAAGGGGCACCCACTGGCTCTCTGGAGCTGCCTGCTACAAAGTGACTCCAGACCAGGAAGTTAAAGTACGGGGTGGTGTGTATGTGACTACTTAAATGGTATGAGAATGCTTGGGCAGCAGCTTTTCCTTTAACATTTCCTTTTCTGCTTTGTACTTCACGTAAATCATTAACATGTACTTAGGGGAAAAAATTCATTCATCCATGACTGACAGATCAGGAATTTTATCTAAAAGGTTACTGTAAAAGAAGCATTTGCATCTTAATAGAAAATTAAACTGTACAATTAACCAACATGCACCTAAACTAAAAGAACAACACATGCAATTCTTTGTTAGATGGAGTAAAAATGCATGAGTCCAGATCCTAATGGAAACTATTAGGATTCTAATGGAAATGCCATGTCAACTAACACAGATTATTTATCTGACAAATCTTGTGAAGATAAATTGGACTTTAGTGAGTCTTTAGAAGTGTAAAGTTACCTGTAGTAGCTGAAGTCACCCAAGCAAATGAACCTGATCTAATGGGGAATTGCCAAGGGCTACTTGAAATGTTCCCTTCCCTCTTCATGTCCCAGAGAGCTGAAGGTGCTGAATATCTCGCAGAAAAACATAGGCAGCCCATAGCTGGAAATCTTCAGGACAACTGAGAGTCAAATCAAACATGACTGAGGCCTCAGGGTCTAAAAAAAACCCAAACAAACAAAAAAACAACAACAACAAAAACAAAAAACCAAACAAACAAACAAAACAAAAAAAAAAAAAAGAAAAGAAAAAAGGAAAACCAACCCTAGGACCTGGAAGTTTGGAGCTTCAGCTTGGCTTCCTGTATAGTTCTCCCTCGTGCTGACTACCTCCCCAGTCACTATTTAGTACGTTATCTACTGTTCACTTACCCAAAGGGAACTATGCAGGAGAATGATGACATGATTTTATGTTAAATATCCTGCTTCTCTGGAATTGCTGTGATTAATCTACATCACAGTTCAGTGTTTCAGATGAAATTCAGGGTGGACTAATGAAGTTAGGCTTCTCTAGACAGCTGTGAAACTTCCGAGTTTACAAGGAAAATCATACCAACATATTATTGTTACAAAAGCATTTAAGTTAACTCACTTAACAGAATTCTCAGCGCAAGAGTCAGTGTCTGTCATTTCTAATTACATTTCTAGAATGGCTCACTTTTTACCCCAATTCTTTCTCCTCACATTTGCTTGCACATACCTCATCTTCCTTCCCAACAGGTCTGCACTCAGACGAAACTGGTTTTTACAGTCACTGCAAGATACAGAGGGCAGTAGTGTTTCTCTTACATAGCTGCTGCTTACTATCATGTAGACATTCTTATGTGATAACACTCCCCAAACAGAAACAAAAGGAAGAGGATGTAAAAGCAAGCAATAGATCATTTCAGTCCAGCTGTCAGACACCCTACAGAGCCCAGTGACATAGGAACCACCAAGGTTGTTTTGAAAGAACAAAGGCAAAAAAGAAAGCCCCACAACAGATGAATGTGAGAAATGAAGATGGAAACCTGAGCCAAGCCATCAGTTTATGAATATTGCTGGAATTATCAACTCAACAGGAAGTCTCACTTAAAACCAGACTTTAAGTGAACTGCTGTTCAACTACTTCCTTTTGCTGGATGTTACACTTCTGCATCAGATTGTACTATGTGCAGTTTCTCATTTAGCATCATACGTAATCACTCAGCAGGTGGCAAATTCAAGGCACAAGCTTACTAGCCTGCTAAGTTTCCCCAGGTGCTGCCAGTGTGTGGTTCCCAGACACAGACAGCAGCTACCCCATTGCACTACAGAGCCCTCTGTGCTGGCAGTCAGCACCCACTGAGCAAGGTTATCAGGAGTAGCTGCTGAGCAATTGCTGTGTACCAGTCCCTGGAGTGGCCTCTGCAGAGCTCACATCATTTGTTAGACATGAGAGGGCCATGCAGCCCATTCGCACAGATGCTGCAAGGATGCACACCTCCAGTCAAGCAACTGGCATGGGTAACAGTAAGAGAAAAACCCAGAAAGTCAACATTGCACAGAGCACAAAACCCTGTAATGCTATATTTAAACAGACTGACATATTGTATTCTCTGTATGTCATTGATACAGTGTATTTGGCTGGTAGAAACTGTTAATATACTTCATCTATCTTTTGAGGCTTACAGAAAGTCTCCTATACAAAAGAAATGCTGAACACAAACCTCTCTAATGCCATGGTTATGTCCACAGAAGAGACAGCCAAATAAGATACAGTACTCAATGCAACGCGTTGACAATGCAAGCAGTGCGATGTACACACACACCCACATACACACAGACACACAGAGTGCAAACATTCAGTCTGGAAAAAATCTTAGTCCCAGAACAAATTGTCTTGCACCAACTCAAGACCTCCAGCCAGAGACATGTTTATAATTGATTAACAATCATAGCAGCATCAAGAGAAATGGGGGGAAAAGCAGACAAAACTTCACTGTCAGCCCAACATTTAAGAAAACAACTGGGAGCATATTTACCTTCTCTTTGTTCTTATCTCTCACATTACACAATGCCCACTTTCACAGTTCAGCACAGAAATCTCCCAATCAGTATTTTTCACTAAACTGTCATACCTTACACCCACCTCATCCATGGCTCAAGCCACCACACCTCAGTTTGTCGTGGCTATGACACACAAGCACACACACAGCCTGTCCTGCCAATGCTGCATTAGAGCAATCATCCTCGGCAAAGGGCGATAGCAAACAGGAGTGGTGGCTATGATGCCTTACCCACCACATCATCCCACTGGATTATGTGCCAGCACTCTTTATCATCACACTATTAAAGGGCATATTCAGCAGAGTTGAAGCACTCTACAGAAGTCTTAAGTCCAATTAAAGTCAACATGAACCAAAGATGTTCAGGATGCCATGACATCAATCACCAATTAACAGTCCACTTGCATGGGAGGGCAAATCAGCACACTACCAAAGAACCTTTGTGCTACAAAGTGCGTGTTCTGAAGCAACCAAGCTCAAGGGTTCCAAAGAAGGAAAATTGATCTGTGAAAGATCCCCACTGAGCCTCCCTCCTGTAAGGAAGCAGTAAGATAACCAGATTTGGAGGCTGTAATAGGGACTGTTAATCAACAGGATTCCTATTTCTCTTCAGTCTATTGCAAAGGCACAGATCATTAGTAACACTACAAGCCTGCCATACATTTTGTTATTACAGCATGACTAAGCAATAAAAGTGAACCAGCAGATTTTGCAGAAGAAGCAGTGTTACGTTTATTAGGATTTGACCTTCAATGGTAAATATTTCCATTCTTTCTCAGAGAGAACTACCTCTAATATCAGAGGGGAGGACTACCACTAGCAGCAGAAGAGATGTGGAGCAGCAGCAGCACAAGATGGACTTTCAAATGGGGAAACAACCACTAGAATGGCATTTCCCTGAATAAAAAACACCAACCTGCCAACAGGAAAATCATCTTTCAAACAAAAAGAGACAGATAACTCACAAATACCTTGCAGTCCTCCGTGATTTACTCTT